TTCTTTCATTCTTTTTTACTACAAATTTTCCACCAAACAAAAGATGGCGACTCTGTTGGGGACTAGCTTCTCTGATGAAGAGGTGGTGGCGCAATCCGACGTCCATCTTGCTAGAACGACCATGGAAACTCTCATCGTAGAGTTTGATCAAGTCAAGTATGTGGAAGCTCTCTCCTCTGGATCGCTTAGCCCCAAAGCTAGGTTTAATGTCAGCAAGATCTCCAAAGAGATCAATAAGCCAACTATTGCCACATTATCATTAACGGTCTCACTATCTGACCAAGACACTCAATAAATCTTATCTTTAGTTATAACCACTTTACCACGTTATAGGATAGGTTCAGATCAGTTGGAACAAGATCCTAGCGGTTAACAGGTGAAAACAGCTTCAAAACAGCTTTTTAGGCTGGTAGACACCTTCGGTGTCTCGGCCTTGGCCGAGACACTTGGAGTGTCTCTTACTAAGGCTCGAGCACTGGTCAAGGACCTCGCGGTCATTTTTGCTGTATTTTCATCATCCGAACTCAGAATTACACAATTTAAAGTGCGTAGGAAAGCCGACAAATAGATCTACAAGCTCTCACGATTGAATCACATTTGGAATGAATGAGACACGAGGGGTACTTTATCTTTTGTGAGCAAAGCGTAACTCCCGACCGACTTGTATCTTCCTTATTCCTCTATTCCCGCTGTTTTGTACGGTTCGTCGACTCACTTTATGTGCTCGTCGATGTTGGATAATCTTCTTTGATTTAGATAATAACGTTCATCATCTTCTCTCTGCTTCGAGCTATGTACGGGAACCCATAGGTAATTTTTGATGCCTACAATGATATGTTGTGTATATATATAACGCAACCTTATTCTCTACTATCAAAGTGAGTAACATGGGAGAAAAGCACAAACTCAAATACTCTACGGAGAATAGGTATATCAGCCCAAACCCGGAAACCAAAGATGACTCTGACACCCTGCGAAGAATAGATTTATCAGCCTAAACCCGGATACAATGTGCCTCGAACACCCTACAAAGAATAGGCATATCAACCTAAACCGGGATACAATGATGCAACATAGAGTGTAGTCCAGCCGCGGTCTCATTGTGGGAAAACCAACTAACACACTCTAGGTGTAGTCCAACCGCGGTCTCATTGTGGGAATACCGATTAACCCTACTCAAGCATCCACACCTGTCATAAACCGAAACAAAGTCACTCCCTATCGTGATAAATTCAAAATGTTAGATTTCGCACCTCAACCGCTCATGCGAACGCAAACCTAATACGAGTACTCCAGTGGCCAAACACGTGTCTTAATGTGCGGACCCGAACTTCGTGTTTACAATCAACTCACGTGATAAAAATATCAAGTTCACAAATAACACTAGACCGGTTGACTGATGTATCATCATAGATCGACCGACGACATGCACCAAGTGTGCACAAAACAATTCAGCCTTGATCGGTCGACCGATGCTTATGCTTCGGTTGACCGAATAGAGGTAAGTCTTCAATTTCCTGTAAACATGTGTTTTTCTTACAAAAATCAAAACCTTCACATAAACACATGTTTATAATCTTGTTTTAATGTAATTAAGGTTCATACCACCTCATGAAAACATAAATATAAATATTTGAGGGGATTCACAAACCCTAACATGATTATATTTATAAATTCGTCATGAAAACAACTAACTTTATCAAAATCTCATGTTAGATCTATATAAAATCTTAAACCCAAATCAGAGAATCCATTTTATAACTTTTTAAATAAAAAAATCAATCTTTATATCATATAGTTCGAAAAGAGTGATTTTTATACATAAACTAGGTTTTAAAGATCGATAAAACCAAATAAAAACATTTAAATACAGGGGATGGGTTTGGAGGAGATGAAACTCACCTCAACAAGTTGTGCTAAACTTCCAAACATGCGTGATAACTATCCTCCTTCACCAAAAGCCGCGGATCTCGCCCTCCACTTGATTTTCGCTACTCAAAGCCGTGATAACTATCCTCCTTCACCAAAAGCCGCGGATCTCGCCCTCCACTTGATTTTCGCTACTCAAAGCTCTCAAAACTCACAAAATTAACTCTAGGGTTTTTTGAGGGGAGAGGGTGGCTTTTGTTCACATGAAAATATGAAGGAAAAGGGAAATTTTGGGTATATATACTCATATATATACAAACAAATCCGAAACAAAACAGTTTGACCCGAAAACCAAATCCTACCTGGAATTTGCCTATCATCGGTCAACTGATTTTCTTAGGTCGGTTGACCGACCTATGTCCATCGCTCGACTGACCTATGTCCATCGCTCGACTAGTTTGCTAGGACCAACCGACTGACCAAAACATAGAAATTGACTTAATGGTTTTCGCATTTATGCATATGTACACTTATATACATACATATATGTACTTAATCGATCTCAAATCGATTTCTAAAATACCCATTCATCTCATAATAGTAGCAACCATGATAAAAACTATTTAATATTATTTTTCATAATATTTTCAAATTTATGGGATTTTACATTCACCCCCCTTAAAGAATTTCATCCTTGAAATTTCGCAATCGTATCTTAGAGATTAATATTATAAGAAAAGCATGTTGAGGGGATAATCCAGACAAGAAAACTCTCACATACACATCTCGTACCATTAATCTCTAGATATGAATCACAAGCAATATTTACACTTAACAATCTAGAATGCAAATACTTCCACTTCCAATGATTTGTATTCTCTCGATCTCTCGATCTTAATGCAAATACAAAAATCTAAATAAGAAACCTCTCATGTATATACCATGTGTTCCCAATGATTTGGAGCTAAGTGTTAATACCCACATTCTAGCATTAAATATAAATGTGGCTATACTAATAATCATGAACACAACAATACTATAACTTAGAATATACCTGCTCAAACAGGTGCGGGTAGTCGCGACGCATATCCTCCTTGCACACCGAAGAAGCTTCCTTAACTCCTTTCCGGTTCCATTGCACTTTGACTAACAGAATCACTTTATTTCTAAGTCTCTTGTCCTCTCTGGCAAGAATAAGAACTGGGATCTCAATGGTGGTCAAATCTTCCTGTAGCTCTAAATCTGGTGCGTCAAACACCCTTTGTAGCTCCTTGTCGCGTAAATGCTTCTTGAGCATCGAAACATGAAAGACATTGTGTACATCCGACATCGATGCTAGAAGATCTAGCTGATACGAGGTAGCTCAAACATGTTCCACAATCTGGAATGGTCAAATGAATCTTGGGGCTAGCTTTCCCCGTCTGCCAAACCGTTGAACACCCTCCATCGGCGATACTTTCAATAAAACATAGTCCCCAACCTAAAACTCCAATGGTCGTCGCCTCTGTCTGTATAACTCTTCTGTCGACTATGGACCGTGAGAATACACTCTCGTATCAATGCTACCTTCTCCGTAGTCTGCCTCACGAGCTTTGACCCATGTAATAAGCTATTGTTTGGCTCTGTCCAACAAATCAGGGATCTACAAGGCCTCCCATACAATACTTCATAAGGCCATATCTATCGTGGCTCTGTCCAACAAATCAGGGATCTACAAGGCCTCCCATACAATACTTCATAAGGCCATATCTATCGTCAATTGATAACTGTTGTTATATGCATTCTCAACCAATGGAATACGGTCCTCCCAGCTACTCTGGAAATCAATAACACATGTCCTCCAATACTTGGTCGACCCTCTCTGTTTGGCCATCTGTTTGCGGGTGGAATATGCTGCTATATGCAACTGGTTGCCGAAAAAATTCTAAAAGCTCTTCCAAAAATAAGATGTGAAAACTAAGCCACAATCTGACACAATCATCTCTGGAACTCTATGCAATCGTACTATCTCCCGGATGAAAATTCTCACATAAGTCTCCATCGTATAGGTCGTCTTAACTGGCAAGAAGTGCGTTGACTTCGTCAATCAATCAATAATTACCCAAATTAAATCATTCCCTTTGTTAGACCTTAGCAAGCCTACGATGAAGTCCATAGAAATATTTGCCCACTTCCACACATGAATGGGTAAGGGCTGTAGAGTCCTTGCGGGTCTCTATTGTTCTGTCTTCACTTGCTGATAGGTAAAACATTTAGCTACGTACTCCGTAATATCCCTACACATGCCGCTCCACCAAAAATATCTCTTCATGTCCTTGTACATTTTGGTTTTGGCTGGATGCATTGTGTACCTGGTGCAATATGCCTCATCAAATAATTCCTTCTTCAACCCATCGCTGCTACCTCTGGTTGAGCTCCTTCTGGGAGAAAAGGTACTTCAGGTTCTGATGGTCAGTGAATATCTCGAGCTACCTCTGGTTGAGCTCCTTCTGGGAGAAAAGGTACTTCAGGTTCTGATGGTCAGTGAATATCTCGAACTAAATTCCATAAAGGTAATGTTTCCATGTCTTTAGTGTGAATACCACCGCTTGTTAACTCCAAATCGTACGTGGCATAGTTCTTCTCATGAGTCCTCAACTGTCGTGAAAGGTATGCAACCACTCTCTCAGTCTGCATCAAAACGCCTCCTAGAACTGATAATGATGCATCCGTGTAGACAACAAAGGTCTTATCACTACTCGGGATAATCAACACTGGCGTTGTATTCAACTTGGCCTTCAAGGTATTAAAGGTATTCTGATACTCTAGTCCCTAAACAAACCATACAACCTTCTTCGTAAGGCATGTCAGCGGGGTAGCAATCTTTAAAAAGTCTTGGATGAACTTTTGGTAATAGCCGGCAAGCCCAAAAAACTACAAATCTCTGTAACAGTCTTCGGCACTCCCTGCAACTAGTCGAATAAGTCATCAATTCTTGGTAGTGGATACCTATTCCGGTTGGTGACCTTATTCAACTCATGATAATCTATGCACAAACGTATGATGCCGTCCTTTTTCTTCATGAAAAGGACCGGTGCTCCCTATGGAGAATAACTCCAATGAATAAAACCCTGACCAGTGAGATCCTCTAACTAAGTCTGTAGCTCCCTCATCTCAACATGTACCATACGATAAGGTGCATGAGATTTCGGTCCTGTGCTTGGCTGCAACTTGATGCAAAACTCAATCTCTCTCGCTAGAGGCAATCTAAACATGTCCTGAACTGTGCTTGGCTGCAACTTGATGCAAAACTCAATCTCTCTCGCTAGAGGCAATCTAAACATGTCCTGAAAGACATCCTGATACTCTGAGATGACTCTAGTCTCACAAAAATCAGCAACTCGATCTCGTAACAACACCTCCTCAACGTATGCCAGGAATGACTCCGCAAACTGGTTACCCTGTGAGGTCACTACAACCAACTCGGTCCCATCGGACGCTCACAAACTAACTATCTTAGTAAAACAGTCGATACAAATATGGTAGAAAGATAACCAATCCATACCGAGAATCACATCAAACTCAGACATACGTAAAATGATCAAATCCACTATGAACTCGGACTCATCTAAGCTGACAATGCATCTCCTACAAATGTTCAATAGAAGCGACACAACACCTAGAGGGATAGAAACTAACAAAGGAGTGTCTAAAGGCAATGCAACTAGCTGGAGCTTAATCATGAAAGCATACGAGATGAAAGAATGTGAAGCTCCTGAATTAAAAAGAATACATGCCAAGAAGGAGTTCACAAGGAATGTACCTTCCACCATGGCCCCATTCGCCCCATGATCATGCGGTACAACTGTATAAACTCTACCCGAAGCTACGGTCTGTTGCACTGATGGATCAGGGGTATACAGAACCATCTACCCCTACGAAGTCTCCTGAATGGCTCAGACCTATCCCTCAATCCTCGGAACTGTTAGCTGTGCCTTAAGTCTTAGCTACTGGCCCTGACCTTGGCCCTATCCATGGTTCTGCTACTGACCATGACTCTTGCTCTGTTAGCCTCTTGCTGGTGGACTACGACATTCAGCGGCCCTGTGTCTAAACTTGTGGCAGTGGAAACAAGTACTCTAAAATCTGCGCTGCTACGACGCCCTCTGATCCTGATGCGGTCCCTTCTTATGAGGGCCTTGCTGTTGCTTCTATAAACCCTTGCCCTTTTGCTGGGCTCCTCCAGTTTCTGAAATGGTCTCTTGCCCTTGCCCTTATCTTCGGTCTACCCTGCTTTAGAATTTCCTTCCTTACCCTTTTGAAACATGGCCATCTCGGTCTCCTGTGAAATGGCGGCATCAACTACCTCCCGCACTGAGTAAAATCATCGTGACACTAGATAACAACGTAAACTGGGTTGAAGTCCTATTAGAAACATCTGAGTCTGATGCTCCCCTATATGCTACATGCCCGTAAATCAGAGTAATCCTATGAACTTGCTCTCATACTCAGCTATAGATATATCTCCCTGCTCCAATCAGGCTAACTTTAACTCTTTCCTGGCCTTTTTCGCTGTTGATACGCATTGCTCGTCAAAGAAGTAAACGAAATCCTTCCAGCTAAGTGTCATACACTGTTTCGATGTGAGCTGAAATCTGTACCATCCTTCGGCATTGCCCTTAAGGCTAAAAGCTACCAATCTCTGCTTCTAGACGGTGTCAACATTAAGCATATCCAAAATGTTCCCCACGTCTTCCTTCCACTTATGATTTGCAAGTGAATCCTATGCACCATGAAACTCTGGTGCCCTGATCTTCTGATACCTCTCCTCAAAATGGAGCTAAGTCTCATGCTCTACGGTCCTATCAACAGCTAGTGGTGGTGCAACCGCTAGCAACTCCTCCGCAATAGGTACATGAGCTGCTGGTGGCGGCACCACTGGAGGTGGTGTCACTAGCGGAACTTGATTCACCACTTGCTCTTTAAGTGCTGCCATCCTGGCTATAATCGGTGCTACGAGGTTGATCAAGTATTACAGAGCCTACTGCAGCTCGAGCTCTGTCTCAGCTTGCCCAGCTCCCTGAGTATGAGTTCCTCTCTGACCACGTCCTCATCCTGACATCTATAATTTTAGGAAAAGAGCTTATAAGACACAGTAAATGAGACCTCAAACAAATATAACATAATATATAACAATAGGTAAATCATATCACGTAGCATTCACCCAAAATGCTTTATTATCAAAGTAAGATATTCATCACAAATTTTTTTTTATAATTTTTGAGTTATACATTTAACGTCATCACTCATACTAGGAATTCGTAATAGACTCTATACATAAATCCTAGGAAACTCCATCCTCGCTCTACGACTCGACACAGGATAATCCTAAGGATGCTGGAACTAGAGCTCTAATACCAACTGTGACATCCTGGTTTCACACAAGGCTGCAGTCCAAGGTGAATCTAATGATGTCAAACCTTCCATGCACCCACACTGTGCAACAATACATTTCACCATCATAGTAGTATCTCTATAGTGGAATCAATAATAATCAAGTATAGGTACAAAGCAGATAAAATAAATGATAAGAATGTAATGAACATGATAAAGGAAAGAGATATTTAAATAATAATTATCATATTCCAAGTGAAATAAATAAAGTACAACTGATGTCCGAAACATAAGAGATATTTAAATAATAATTATCATATTCCAAGTGAAATAAATAAAGTACAACTGATGTCCGAAACATAGATGAAATATCTTAATACATAAGAGTCAACTGAAATAGTACTAAGGTACACAACCTTCCAAAATGATTAAAACTTTAATGCCTGAAAATAAACTATAACTACTGTGGAGAATAATAAACTACTAATAATAAATAAAGATGGAAGCTAAGCTGAAACTCCATCAACCTGTGACTCTCCAGGTGCCTGACTCGCTGCCTGAAAAGAGGGAAAATAACGAGCGTCAAAGCGCTAGCGAGAACATCTCCACTTCCCCCGGGGGGAGGGGTAGGTGTAGAAAAATACAAGTTAGTACATTATTTGTTAATACACCTAAGGTAGTATATTAGTATCAAATCAGAGTTATAATGGAAATTAATATTCTCGACAAAGAGCTTCTGGTGGAATTAGTAATGCTAAAAATGTATGATTTTGATATCATATTAGGGATGGATTGGTTATCTTTAAATCATGCTTCCATTTTGCGTTGAGAAAAGAAAGTGATATTTAAATTTCTAAGTCAACTTGAATTCTATTTTTGAGGGTTGTAAATCCCAAGAACCCTTAAAATCATCTTAGCCTTTAAAGCCTATCGGGCACTGAAAAGTGGATGTATGAGTTATTTAATTTCGGTTCAAATTAACGATGAAGGAAAACCAAGACTAGAAGAGATACCAGTTGTCTAGGAATTTCTAGAGGTATTTCTAGAAGAACTTCTAGGAATGCCTCAAGATAGGGAGATTAAAATTTTCAATTGATTTAATACCCGGTACAAGTCAAATTTCTAAGGCTCCTTATCGTATGGCACCAGCTGAGTTGAGAGAGCTCAAGGTGCAATTGTAAGAACTTTTAGATAAAGGCTTCATTCGACCTAGTGTGTCACCCTGGGGTACGCCAATATTATTCGTGAAGATGAAAGATGGTAGTATGAGACTATGTATTGACTTTTGTGAATTGAACAAGGTAACCATTCAGAACAAGTATCCATTATCAAGAATTGACAATCTATTTGATCAACTACAAGGAGCTCATGTAATTTTGAAGATTGATCTCCATCTGGTTATTATTAGCTAAAGATCAAGCCAGAGGATGTACTAAAAACTGTATTTCGAACCTACTATGGTCATTATAAATTTCTAGTATTACCATTCAGGCTCACAAATGCACCTGCCGCATTTATGGACCTTATGAATGTGGTGTTTAATCCATTCTTGGATCAGTTTATTATGGTATTTATTGATGATATCCTGATTTACTCAGGAAGCAAAGAAGAGCATTAAGAACACCTGATATATTTACTACAAACATTAAAGAGAGAAAAATTATATATGAAATTTTAAAATGTGAGTTTTGGTTGGAGAAAGTAATTTTCCTTGGACATGTAATTTCTAAGGAAGGGATTTCTGTAGACCCTGTGTAGGCTGTCTAAAAATCACAATAGATAGTTGACCCCTGTCAAACATCAACCAATAGTTTTGGCAAAAAAGGTTACAATCAGATGACTTTTATGTCAACAATGGAAGGCTACAATTGGAGGATTCTCATGTAGATTAAGAAGAGATTACAAGTCAACAATTTCTTCAAATCGAGGTGCGGAATTCATCCCTGCATCCCAAAGTTGAAATACAAATGATTACGTTCCAGAGTTAAAGCAACACAATCACCACATCTTTAGCTACCAACGCAACTCAAACACAACATAAACGTAGTGTTTTCAGCCTCTGAACGCAGTACAAACGCAGTACCGATTCAACCGCGGACGCAGCTCAAACTCAGACGCTGACGCATCATCCAAAAGCATGCGTTTGAACGCAGGTTCATGCCCAGAACATAAATCATGGCTTGGACTCATTCATACGTGATCCAAACAGTTCCCAAAACCATTTTTCACCCATGATATGGGGAGTGGTTCGAGTGGGTTGTTACACCCGATTAATAGGGTGACTAAACCCCCATTTAGGAGCGGATTAATGGGGTAGTTACACCCCTAATCTCTCAATAAATCCTAACAAACTCCACAAAGTGAGGGGGTCAGATTTTTTTATGATCTGATGAGGATTCTTTCAGCTAGAGTTTTGGAGATCGAACTTCCAAAAGTCGAGATAAAGGGATGAGGCTTGGAAGGCATTCTTTAGCGACAAAGAATTCATATACTTAGCATATTAACCGATTATTCGGTTCAAACAACTCTTTTGACAGAGTTTTGCAATTATTCTGAGTCATAAAATTCGTGAAGAGTTCTCCAATTGTTTCAATGAAACAAGATGTTCGGATCATCAACGAGAATCAAACTCAACGTGAGCATTCGAGGGAGGCATCTCATTGCTACCATGAAGAACCCAAATTTAAACAAAGAGGAGAATTCAGATCAATTCTCCTCTCTTTTGTAATTAGGAAATCCAAATTGTAATCGAGATCGAGAGAATACAAATCAAATTTTTTTCATTCTTTTTTACTACAAATTTTCCACCAAACAAAAGATGGCGACTCTGTTGGGGACTAGCTTCTCTGATGAAGAGGTGGTGGCGCAATCTGACGTCCATCTTGCTAGAACAACCATGGAAACTCTCATCGTAGAGTTTGATCAAGTCAAGTATGAGGAAGCTCTCTCCTCCGGATCGCTTAGCCCCAAAGCTAGGTGTAATGTCAGCAAGATCTCCAAAGAGATCAATAAGCCAACTGTTGCCACAGTATCATTAACGGTATCACCATCTGACCAAGACTGTTCAAACGGCTCTTCCTTGGAAGGAATGGGCTTGGATTCTGTCAAACTCGTTTCACGAGTTGAGAATTGCAGGCGCAAGTCCACACGCTCCGTGTCGGGTCATAAACAACCAATGGTGGAGAAAGATCCAATCAACGCCGATGACATTATTGCTAAAGCATTGAAACAAGCCAAGAAGAATGTAGCTTGAAGAAGGAGAAGATCCATACGACAAGCTCACCTACAAGATAGTCGAAATCTGAACCAACATGAAGGTCACGTTCTTGAACCTATACCTGAATGCATACTTCGTGGTAACGAGCCCCAGTATGAGCCTCGTGTGATACAACTTAAACGCGAGCCTCATCGACACATAGTTCACCTAAAAAGGACCCTCAAGGGTCTGTTCCATCAACCAAACGTAGGTTTCAGCCTAGGGTTAGTAAATCACAACGCGACCCTCGTGTTTCTTCTCCACAACGTGATGTGGTCC